CCCCCCCATCACACCCACACGCCTCCCCATCACCCTCAACATCAAACCCAGACCCAAAAGAAAAAAGAAAGAGAAAAAACAAACCCTCAAGCTTTCCCAAAACCCGATTCACAGCCCCCGAACAGCCACCACACGACATAGCAACACCAAATTTGTAGTTGTGTTCCGACATCTTTCCTTGTTTCCTTTCTTTCCTTTGGTGTTCTTTGGTGGTCTTTAGTTGTGTCGCGAGGGTGTGCGATGTGATGTGATTAGTGTGGTGTTTGGATGTTGTGTGGATGTAGTTTGCGATGTGTAAACTGATGTAGTTGTAGTTATCAAAGAACTGTGCCAGCGTATTTGTATTTGTACTGTAGCCGTCGTCTCAAGGTCAAGGTCTCGGTCACTTCAGGCGGGGAAAGCGCGGGGTACCTCGAGGCTATTTATGCGAGTCACCTCACCTCACCTCACTTCCCTCCACCCCAGAACGTTCCAATTCCTTCCTTCCGCCTCACACTGGTGCTTGTCCTTCCAATCACGCAATCACAGTAGCACTCGTACTCGAGTACCTGCTTAGAAATCCACATTCTACCTACAACCTCACCATAAGTAATTTACTCTATTATTCAACCCTCAGACTTCTAAAACGTGGCCCTTCCATCCTCTCACGCTTAGAAATCCACCTTCAGCCTCCATGCTCTGACAAAATCAATCAACTCACTCCTCAGACCCGGACATCCCCTTCGCATTATCATACACGCCATACCCCTGTCCCAAAACTTGCTCATCTGGATATCAGGACAAGAAAACTTGCTCATCAACAAAAACAAATTATTGATTCGTCACCCCTTTCTGAAAAAGAAAAAACGGAACTAGCTCATCACTCTGATTTACGAAGTATGATCAAAGAGTTAAGTTTCAGTGTCCACCTAGTTTCAGGCGGTCAGAGTACATAGTGTCACTCGGATATGCCAAGGATGGTGTTCGTGATGCTTCCCGCCAGCAAGCTAGAAGATCAACAGTGTATTATTGTCATACGATGGCATCTCATTTTCTCATTTCATTATGTTCTACATAAAGTGTATCGTTTATTCTCTCCCAGCATCCATGGAAGAATCTCATTCAAAAGGCTTCGCTGCCACCTTCAGAGATGCAAACTGCATTTGCAGATGAGTCCAAATACATGCCAATTCGCGACAAAATCTCAATCATTCAGCCTTTTCATAGAAGCTGCAATCAAATCACAGTTTGGACTGGATTTCTTTTGCCGATGCACTTGCTTCCTTGTTGATAACCACATCACCACTCTTGCGGCTGTTACCAAAGAAGATGACCTCAACTGTCAAGTCGTCACTATAAACCGTTAGCAATAATTTATTGAAGCCAGATGTCAAAACTTACCGATATCGTCTAGAGTATGGTGCTGGGAGAGTCAATAATGCACGAAGCATCTCAGTATCCTTTCCTCCAAGCGCGTTGCGAACTAAATGTGTAGCAACATTCTTATCTTCCACAACAAATCTCTGATTCTCGCTGCCTGTAACTCCCCATTGCTGCTGTCTAATAGGTGCTTTTTGCCCATCCTTTCCAACCTTGGCTTGACCCGACTCAACTGGTAGTCCATTTTGCTGCGAAAACAAGTTGATCCAAGAGCTAGAGTTACTACCTGATTCCTTGGAGTGCTTCTCGACCCATTGTCCAACAAGACCGACCACTTCCTCATTCGTAAGCATTTCCCATAATCCATCAGTAGCCATGACAACGAAATCACCATTGCCAGGCTCAATCTTGGTAGTCGTGACAACAGGTTCAGCCGTGACATATGGAGGTGTTTTAATCAATGTCGACGGAGTTCTACCAAAGAAAGATCGCTTCAACTTCTCGGAAACCTCACGGGTCCATTTGTAGCTGGCATCTCCAAAAGCACGAGTTGGCTCGAGACCGCCTAGCACGCGACCATTTCTGATAACGTAGTCTTCTCCGGGATGAAGTTTGCGCATTCTTGCTTCTTCTTCAGGGTTACCACCACTTTGGTCGACGGAAAGAGGTGTGGCTACCCACTTTCCACTTCCACCTCTTCTACCCAAAACGGCTCGAGAGTCACCAGTACATGCTACTCGTAGAAGCTTCGAGTTGGTATCGTAAAATGAGAGAAGAGCGCATGATCCAGACAAAGCTGGGCCTAACACCTCTGCTGCGACCAATTTTGAATTGGCCTTGAGAACCTTCTTCACGCTTTCGTGTACTATCTCGTCATCGAGTTTTGTAAATCCGGCCTTGATAGCTGCCTCGACCGCGTCGTTTGGAGGGGAACCGAGGGGTGATCCGCTTCGAGTCAGTTTGTATGTTTCATTCAATTCTCTCGCGACATAACTAATCAATGTTTGTCGAAGTTTCGCAGATGTGGTCCAGCCTCTGCGAATAGTTAGTATTGAATTGAAAATTGAATTTGCACAACACATACGAATGGCCATCAAACACACCCCAGAACATCCAATCACTAGAAACGTCTGCGGCAGAAGGTGCGCCAATTGGCAATTCGATAATCTTCTCGGAGTGATCATCCTCGATTGGGTCGTTACTTGGTATCTGAACCACATCGTATCTCACAACGCCCTTGCCCCGACCAATTAAGTATGATTCCTCATTTCGACGTAACTTGTTGGTGCATTGATCCGGAGTCAACATTTCCAAGACCTTTCTTCCCGAATCATCTGTATCTTTCGTAATCGGCTCGTTACCCTCGAGTAATGAGGTGTAGAGGTCGTCTGCTCCAATTATCACTGCCTTTCTTTGCACAGTTTCGGTAGGGGCTTCGGGTTGTGGAAAAGTATACGTGGGAGTTGTAGAGGTAGAGATTGATTGTGTATGTTGTGTTGTTGAAACTGATTGCCCACCACTAGCTGGCTTACCGTTTTGTCCTTTGTACGCATACCAAGCTCCAAATCCCACCAGTCCAGAGAGTACGGCGACGGAGAACCTTCTAACATACATTGATGAGGGGCCAGTTGGGGTTGGGTCCAGGCTGGGTGTTGAGTTTGGTTTCCGAGGTCCAGGTCCAGAAGCTTGTCGGATGCTCAGTGCATGGTTGCAGGTGGTTGAAGGAAAGAAGCTGCTCCGAGGACGAAGGGCGACATCCCGAGGTAGGGTTAAGCTTAGACGCGCACCGCGGAAAGCTCTCACAGTTGCTTGACGCATCGAAGGGCGTTAGTGTATTAATTAGTTTGGTAGGCTCTTATGACTGAGATGCCCTAATATCATCAGAGGTAGAGGTGTCGGTTATGTTGATGGTGTTTGGCGCGTCTCTAGGTGGTCGCGGAGGGAGACCAGGTGCTGCAAGCAGTGAAGAGTCCCAGCCTGGAACTCTAAAATCGGAGTAGAGCTATTGAAAAGAGCGACCAAGGTAAAGGGTAGGAGAAGGGAGTGGAAGGTGAAAGGTGAAAGGTGATATGTTAGAATTACTAGAGCATTCTATGCCACTGTAGTCTCCAAAGCCTTTCAACAATCAGAACCTTTGAGGATTCAAGTGAAAGGTTAGTTGGTGGTACAGTACTCGTACTGTAGCTGCAGAGGTTCAGCGGTTGAAGGCAGCCTGCACATGCACAAACTGCTGCAAGCCTCACAGCACCAACCACTCATCCCCTGGAATCTGTGCGTCATTCGCCAACCAATTCCACCAAACAATCTCTACCCCACCACCACCACCATCGCAAAGTTCTATATGTGAAGGACAATTACCATTGTTTGCACCTGCAAGCATCCATAATTTTTCGTCAAATATATCACCGTGAACTTTGGAGTCCAGGCCAATACCACACTACATCATGTCAAGTCGGCAGTTACGAAAGCTGCAGCAGCAAAAAGACCTGGAACTGGCACAAGCCAAACTCAAGGCCCAGGAGGAGGAAGAAGAAGAAGAGGAATCTGACGATGAACCTGTTCACCAACCACCATCCAAGGCAAGCCTTTTCGCAAATCTAGCCGCTCTAGAAGACAATGACGATGACTCCGACGAAGCCAAAGGTTCAGAGAAGGAAGAAGAGGACAAGGCGCAAGACTTGAGCGAGCCAGAACCCACGACTATTGCCCCTCCAAAGAAGGCAAAGAAATCCAAAAAGAAGAAGAAGAAGGCGAAAGCCAAGGAAAAGGAACAACCACCGAAACCAGAAACTGGAGAGGACGAGATTGAAGCTGCGCTGAAGGAATTGGATCTGAAGAAACCATCCGGCAGTGGCTCATCCAACCAAGTCCAAGTGGACCCAGAATACGAAAGAATATGCGCGCTCCTCGGGATTAATGCGCAACACTTGAAAGTGGCTAATGAGATGAGAAATTTGTTTGGACGGGCTGCAGTTGAAGTCCATGATGATCCAGGTGGACCAGTGGGGCGAGGGGCACGAAGAAGACAACAGCGGGGTCAAAATCAGCAAGTGGATTTGGAGACAGCATTGAAAGGTCGACATTCTCCTGGAAAGGGATTGCCTGAAGTTACTCTACGGCGGAATTGTTTGATTCAAGGAAAAGACGATTGGCCAAAAGCACCTACCGGTGGTCTGACATTGGCTATTGTCGACGATTTGCGAAAGTCTGATGGTACCATTGAGTTTAGGTTTGATCATAATCAGCAATATCAGCTTTTACAGCAAACCTTTCAACAATTTGTGGAGATGGGGGACCCTCAAAACCTGATAGGACTTTTGATTCGTAATCGTAAGTCTGGCTGCCAAATCACATTTTCTACAACTGACTCCTTCTAGCATATCACATCTCACTTCTCATTCAAGTCAGCAAGATTGCAAAGGATCAAACAGATCATGCGCTCTCTGCGGATTTACTTGAACGAGCTTTATTTACTTTTGGCCGTGCAGCAACTACACTCTTCAATACGCAATTAAGTGCAGGCAAAGCCAGACTTGATTTCTCCAGACCAGAAAATCGGGAACTATGGCTGGCTGGATATCAGTACATCAAGAGTTTGGTCATGAAAGGCACTTATAGAACCGCTCTCGAATGGGCCAAGCTTCTTCTTTCCCTGGACCCAGAAGACGACCCTTATTGTATGCGCTTCATGGTTCACCACCTTGCACTTCGAGCAGGCGAGTTTAATTGGTTGTTGGATCTATTTGAAAGCAATTTACCAGAGCTCTGGGGCCATTCTACGGCAATCGCTCACATCAAACCTTCATTGGCTTTGGCGGCCATGTCTTTGAAAGAAGGCGCACAATGTCGGAAGCTACTTACAGAATCAATGAAGACCGTTCCATGGCTATACACTCGTCTATTCAAAGAGCTCAACCTTGATGCTCCCCCTTCTATTTGGGGTATTGAAGCAAGAAGCGACGCCGAGATCTTACTCACAGAAATCTACGTCCTTCAAACCAAAGATCTTTGGAACACAACCGGCGCTACTTCTCTCCTTATGGAAATCGCACATACAATTCCCAAAGTCGGCGATCAACAAATCGATCCATTAGACAACTCCGCAATGACTTTATCCGTCGTCAGATACGTATACCTAGACAACACACCATCTCTCATGGCCTTAGCACCATCCAACCTCCTCCACCGAAGCAACAACTCCGACTCCGATCCCCTCCCCCCAGACACCAACATCTTCTCCTACGAATCCCAACGCCTAACCATCGAAGGATTTCAACGTCCCAACGGCATGGGAGGCGACTTCTACAACCTCCCCGCCGCACTCATGCGTCTCATCCCCGGTCTTCGAGCCCCCAACGCCGCCGGTGCTGAACTCGAAGACCCCGAAGAAGCGCAGATCCGGCGCGAACTCGAGGAAGCCATAGCGGGAGATGATGATGGACGAGAAGCGACGATGCCGGTTCCTCTGGGTTTGGTGAGAAGGGTTTTGGGTATGATTTGGCCTGGTGATGAGAGGGCGGCGGAGGAGTATCTGAGTGATCTTGATGATGAGGAGGAGAATGGTGATGAGTGGGATAGTGATACGGAGACGGATGTGGAGATGCCCGAGTTGGTGGAGCAGGATGGGGATGGAGAGGAGGGAACTGATGATGAGATGCCCGGGTTGGTTCCTGCGTAGATAGATGGCTGGATGTGTGTATGTACTTTGTTTGTCGTCAAGCAAGCAAGCGTTCGTGATGGTGTAGCAGGATACGAGATCACCCAATAAAGAGTTCTGATCAGTTTGATCACTGATATGCTACGCATTTAGTAGGAGATTGACGGTCCTTAACAACTACCTTTCTTGATAATCTATTAGCATATTCATATTTTGCTGTACGAAAGTGGGTTTTACCGTTCGTCTTATATCATGAACTTTGGTTGTACTCGCTTTTAGACCTTTTTTTTTAAATTAAAAAAAAACAAAGTTTAAGTATTCTAGGAGTTTTTCTACATTCTCTATACTAAATTAAGATAAAGTGTAGTATTCGAGTACCTAATCGTTAATTTTAAGGATTAGGTATAAAGTACTTTATATACAGTACCTTGAGACTCCTTATACGTCTAGAATAAATTCCCCTATTAAAGGCGTATTATACAATGCCATACACCAAATATCACGTTCATAAGTTACGACATCCAGAGTTTATGTGTACCACGGGAAAGGGAAAGTGGGGGTTTGTTTTTGATATCGTAAAGGGGAGCTGGACGAGCTTCCGATTTACTTTAAAAGTATCTTATACGAGTACAGCTGGGAAATCGTGAGGCACAAGTAATACAGCATGGGACGATGGGTGGGAGTGCGAGAGTTTTTTTGGTAGTATGGTTTGGGTAGGTTGTTGGTAGGTTTTGGATGGGGGGGAGAGGGCTTTGAGGGTGTGTTGGTGCGTTGGTGCGTTGGTGCGTTGGTGCGTTGGTGCGTTGTAGTTGTTGTTTTCACTTTTGACTTAGCGAATGCTGAGTTCGTTTCGACAATAAAATTAAAATCGACAACAACTGATCGTCTACCTTCGAACTGTTGTTACACCAAAGCAAGTTTCCAAGGTCTCCTACACAGGGAAATCTCTATATCTCTATCCTTGGACTCTTGGTTTTTTGGTGGGTGTGTGTGTTGGGGTTTTGGGTGGTAGGGGGGATAGTGACTTGACTGGAGTACTATTGTATTTGACGAAGCGTGTGGGTGGGGGTTCTCTTGCGCTGAAGGGGTGTGGGGGTGAGGGTTTTATGTTTGTTGGGGATAGGAGGTAGGAGGATGGGAGGGGAGATATGAGGTAAGTAAGTGAGGTATGGAAAATGAGAGGGCAAGAGGGGATGGGGGGATTGTCAAGTCAGCTAGTTGGTCTTGAAAGTGTGGTTTTGATTGAGGTGAGCAAGAGGTGGGTAGGTAGTAATTGCCGCGTGCTTTTGGGGTACTTACATAGGAAGTAGTTTTGATTTGCTACCTATTTCTCGTATAGCTGAAAAGTCCTGTACCAGTACAGCATCGTAGTTTTTCTATCGTTGTTCCAAGACTTAGGAGGTTCATAGGTGAGGGTCGCCCGGTAAAGTAATAGGAAGAACTTGCTGTTACTCTGTATAAAATGGAGTGATGAGAAAGAAGTATAGACAAAAAGTATAGTTCATCCGTGAATACTCATAAAGATAATCAATTCCCTCATCTTTGAACATAAGATATTATACTAGTATACCCACCATCCTATTACAACCACCAATCCAATCCACACTGATCCCTCCCCCCGCNCCCCCCTCCACTAAATTTCCATCCATCACCGTATAAAAACCCCAACAGGAACAGTCGTATACTTCATACACACACGAGAACGGGAAAAACTTCGCAATTCTCGGAAACGTAATCCGTCTACATCCCACAACAAACTCAACTTCAAATGCCTCAGACCGACCAGGATCTTTGTAAAAGACTTGTCTCTTTACTAAGTATTACTATCTACACCTTTGTGAAGTTGTGTCTGCCGAATGAAAGAGGCTGTTTCGACGGTAATGTGAGATTCGACGGTGACTCTTTTCTTATTTGGGTTCGCAGATTTCTTTATGAGTTCTGGTGGAAGATTGGGAGAGGTGTGTGTGTTCTTGTTTTACGAGAGGTGGTGAGGGAATGAGGGAGTGAGTCGGATTGGGAGTCGTGGTGTTGTGGGTGTACCGCAATAGCATTCTAGTACTGGCGTAATATCTATTATGCCCTTGATGCTTTTCTTGATGGAGGAGAGGATATTATTTATAAGGATTCTGGGGGGTGGGGTGAGGTGAGAGGATGGTGGGAATTTGAGTGTGGAGGGGTGGTGGAGGGGGTTTGTAGGTAGGAGACTCGTCACTTTTGGATATTCTGAAAGTCTAGGGAGTATATTGGTATTCCTTTTTTGTAAGTGTTAAGGTGTTGAGAATGGAAGGGGGGTGTGATGATTGATATGAGGATGGATATCTATCTTTTCTAATATCGAAGGGGTGTTTATTGTAGATGTGGGGTCAAAGTGATGGGCAACGAAGATAGACAGCTAGACTGGTGTTTGCAAAATGAGAAATTGAGACGGAAGAAATGAGTGAGTGGAAAGACCTGACATCTAGTGGTTATACATGGTTACACTTGCAGTAATGAAACCATGGTAACTACTAAATTAATAACGTGGTTTATCAGCGAGTCGATCATATCACCGAGTCGATCACTTTTTCTTGGCACAGAACTTTACACCTAAATAAATCAACCACAATATATTAAATTAATTATCGCTCTCTATATCTGACGAACTAGATATATCTATAACTTCTTGACAAGTTCGCGCGTTATGACCAGCTTTTCCACAAGTTCTACAGCGCCGCCTAGAAGGTTGCCCCTCCTTATAACCAACCCCCGCCTCACGCATGTCGCGTCGTACTTGCTCATCTACATCCTCCTGAGCTAACATATCCTGTACATCCTCTACTATAAGTGCCCCTCCTTGGCGGACACGAGTCTTTTTAGCCCTACGGCGTTTACTTAGGGCTTCATTTGCAGCGCGAAGGGTACGGACCTCAGCAGACAAAAGGGTCATCTCATGTGCCATTCGCTCTGTACCCTTTGCTAACGCAGCAACTGTTTGAAAAAGTGGAGTTGGCGAGCTTCCTTGATGACAGGCTATACGATTTCGTACAAGAGTTGATTGTGAAAGGGCTTCAGTTGGGTTGGAAGGGGTCTGGGACACCCAGGGGAGGGAGTTGGCACTACACGTCCGAGGGGGAGTTGGAGTCCGTAACCTTACGTCAAGCTTTGAAAGCACTGCTTGCGGGTTAAATGGTACTAGGCCAGCTCCGCGGAATCCAGACTGACAGTTTAGGACTGTCATTGTTTCCTTGTATGCTGCTGTAAAGGCTAGAAAGAACTCAACCTTTGTAATATGGTTGATATGGGCCTTGATAAACGTCTCAATCTGCCGACCATACGCTCGTTTTAACACACTATAGCACCCAACATCAAGTGGCTGGGTTAGATGGGATGAATGAGGAGGTAGTCCAAGAGTAATAATGTTGTGTTTCGTACAGTAGTCTTGGAACTCAGCCGATTCATGACTCTCGTGCCCATCCAAAACTAGTATTCGATACAGACCCTTTGCACGAGCTGTAGTGTGTTTATCAAAGTGCTTTAACCATTCCAGGCCTGTTTCATTATTTGTCCAACCATTGCTTGTCGGTTTCATAACCCAGTTAGGTGGGAGGCCGCCGTCGGTATACCAGTTGGAGAGATGGTTCTTGCCCTGAACTACCAAGAATGGAGGAATACTCCAGCCCTCCCCATTAATACAGGCAATTGCTGTAGCCCATTCCCGATTGCCTGGCTGAACTGCCTTGCCTCTACCACGTCGGTCTGCACGAGTAACAACCATTCTAGGACAAATAACACCCATCATAAAGCCTGTCTCGTCGAAGTTGTAGAAGTCGGAGTCTGTAACCCCATATTTCGCCCTCATATTCTCTACTAGCCGGAACCATGCGCCTAGCACGTCAGGATCTTCGCATAAGGCCCTCTGGAAGTCGTAAACGCGATTAAAACGCGTCTTAAGGTCTGGTTGTCGTTGTACGAATCGATGGGCCCAGAGCTTGCCGACGCGTCTTCCCCCCCGCGATTCAAGGATAAAATTAGCCATATCTTCTACACCAGCGAGCCGGGGCGCAAATCCTCTGGAATCCATATCCAGTATATACCGAATAATCACTTCCTCTTCTAACTCAGTCAACTTATGACAATTGGCTTGAGAATCTGGGCGGTAGGTTCGGCCAGCCATTCTGTCGGAAAGAGTCGTATATGGTACATTGTAGATCTTTGCCGCAGAGCGTTTGCTTAGTTTTTTGGACGACCGAATAGCCTCGATAGCTAGAATAATTCGCGCTTCTTGAGTTTGAATTTCCATGGTAAATAGTTGAAGAAAACGTGTGTTGAAGTTTGAGGAGGTAGTGCCAAGGAAAAGTGATCGACTCGGTGATATGATCGACTCGCTGATAAACCACGTTAAGTTAATAAGAACCTTTATATATAGGCAGAGGGTACACTACAAAGCTTCTGGGTACTATTGCTCATCTCATAGTATGTTGTCATTGTTGGAGATAATAATTTACTACGAAAGGGTTTGTATTTGCTACTTAGCAGCGATGTATATTTGCTAAATTGCTAATTAAATCTTCACGATGTTTGGAAAATGGGTCTATAGTAGTAAATTGAGCTAAGTCTACTTTTCTTCTCGTATTCGGCTCAGATGTATCACAAGAATTACCACTCATGGTAAATTTGAGGGTCAATGTATTTAATATATAAACGAAAGCATATGTATAGACACTATTGCTAACAACTTTAGTTCTCTATCGTTTTCTCACTAAAAGTGAGATATTCAGCAATAATAGAACCTCTTAATAAAGCAGAGTAGTCAGAGTTCACCAATCAACAAGCAGACTCTTGGAATAATTACTAGAGATATCGCCCATTAATTTCACAGTTTGGACTTGGTCAACTTCTATAAGTGTAGGAACACATTGGTCGAGAAATCACGGTCCGCGTGGCTTGGAGATTCGTTCAGTTTTGAGCTAGGATATCTGCGGCTTGTTCTTGGACTGGTACGGTCTGCGATTTGGTCTGGATTTATAGTATGTGGGGATTTGTTTATGTTTGTATGGTTAAGAGAATGGGGATGAGGGGTTTAATAGTAGGTTGAAAAGAGATAGTAAGGCCTCTCTATGGGTGTAGAATTCGAGATTTCGTCTTACTTTTGTCTAAATTACTTAGGAATATACTTGTGTAATAGAAAGAGTTTCAGAGAACATTTA